CCTCTCCTTTGGGGAATAGTTTCTTTTATGAAAACTCAGTGCTGTTCGCTACTTTATTTTGGACTGAGTGAAATATTTTCTGCCTCAGTCTTCATCACATTCAACCGCGATTTTAAATCTTCTTGATCAACTTAGTCCAAGATGATTCCAGAGAGAAAATTCCACTCGAGGTAGTTGATTTCATTGAAATGACTAAAATTCATGCGTCCACTCCTACACCATCAACATTTAGTTGCATCATTGTTATCTCAACTGCTCACTGTTTTGTCGAACAACTTCAAACGTAGCCAGTCCGTAAAGTTTCTTCCTACGGAGGTTGACATTTTAAATCATCACGTTATAACTATGGAAAACAGGCTTTACAAGTGTCCTTCTCACTGTTTATCTTAAGATACCACACAGCAACAACCGACCCTGAACTCAAAACAGGATCGCATGATTGAAGGTGTCTGTCCAATGGGCGCGGCCCGATCGAAACCACTCATCCCCCGGTCTTCGCGCATGATGGCATTGAGGAAGTTCAAGAACTTTGGACGTGATTTAGCGGACCCTCGACCCAATACCAGCAGCGCCCAACCCGTCAAAACTTCGAAGGGAACTGCACCGATTCTCAGACTTCCAAATGATGCTGAAAATACAGTCAGAAAAGTTGGGGAAACCTATCTGGCCTCTGGGGATACTGACCAGTTGCGCGTGAAAAGGGTGAGTGACCAAGATCTAGCAGGAAACTGATTTTGCCGTTTCTGTGATGTTTGTTACTGTCAAACGAGTATTTATTTGACCATATGCTAATGTATAATCTATTTTGACGAACAGCGATCCTTCCAGAGGGGGCTAACAGTTATGATGAAGTTCCGTCAGAATCTAAGTTGTCAATCCGAAAGATGAGCCCGTTTGGAGAACATCTGTAAACGTTTTTGTAGTCTGAACGGTAAAAACATTAGCTCAGTTCAACGGAACTCGTCTGGTTTTCAAAGGATCAGTCAATTACTACTAGTGTACTGGTGATACTACTGATGAGGGAGACATGTAAGTAGTATGTTTTCTCGTAAATCCACATTGCATCTCCTGCAAAGTGAGATCTATTGCGGAATTTGTGGAGTCACTTAGTAGCATTTGCTCACAATTGAGTAACAGTCACTGACTATCCAAGAAAGTTCAGGAAGACGCGTTCAAAGAGAAGATGGATATTTTTTGTTTGTAAACAAGATGCATACGAGAGTTCTGCTTCCCTGTCCAATAGCCTGTAAATGTTTTCCGATAGGTCAGTCAGCAGCAAAGGCTTTCTTCCTTTAACTGGCAGCGTAACACCAATTAATAATCATTAGATGTTTTCGCCCTAGGAAATTGCAGTTAGTTACCTTAGATTTTAGTGTAGCCCAAAAAAATGTACTCGTGGTTAGGTACGAGTATGTTCTCCCTGGAATTGGGGCGCGGCTAAATGAGAAGCAGCAAACTTCTTCACCAGTCGCTCAGAACCCCGTGAAAAAGCATAAATCTCTTCGTCGGCGTACAGACAGACGAAGATCACAGAGTGTGTAGTACTGCAGTCGAAATGTACTATATGAACCCTTCGAGTGTGTACTGACACTCGGTTACCGTGTAGGAACTCTGATCAGCTTGTTTAATGGTCCAAACCTGATGCCCCATGACCGATGCGTGGCGTTCCGTCAAGTACTCTATTGCGCGTGTCGTCAGATTCGCTCTGGTGGAGGGTGACAACACGTGAGCAGATCTGTAGTCAGCTGTCTAGTTGAAAAAGAAAAACATGTTTTATTTGCTGAGTCATCCAACTTTTTCGCTTTGTATCCCCACCGCTTGGACGTACATTAGGGAAAACCCAAACTCCTGAAGACGTTGTCGAAGTATCCGCAAGTTTACGAGGTGCCGGGGGAAGCCTTCTTTGGAAAGACAGGTTCTCGACGGTTGTCGATAACACGGATGCAGCCCTGCAAGGATTCACCAACTGATTTGCCAGACAATGGAAGCAATCAGCTGCTGAAAAATTTGCAAAACGGCAACTGAAAAGACAGTGCGAGGCCAGCACGTGTTGTCAATCATTCATTTTCTGACCCGTACAGATGGCGTATGCAATTAAAAAGAAGCGACAGTGGTCTGCGTCGGAAAACTGCACAGCTGTTTCATCCCTGTTATGAATTATCAACATCTGGCGAATATTAGGGGCAAGCCCAATCCTGGACCTTTCGATTACTGACTGATCATTGGTGAGATCGACTCGTGGCAGCATTCAGCCCCATGACTTCTCAGATAGTAGGCACATCTAACTTGTAGGAAATTGCGTCGTCCTGAATAGATTACTTAAATTCTATAGGTACAGAGGAGATTTTGAAGTGTGGAAGATTATTGGCCCCCAGTCCTGTTCAGCCACAAGCGAACAGGAATATCGTAGCGACTGAAACATGAGGCGGCCTGGTGCAGCACATTCAGTTGCCTGGAAACATCACAAACGAGAGATTCAGCTGGTTTCCAGGTGAGTCTCTCGAAAAACCGAATTCGTTTGCAAATGAGTGTATATTCGCTAACTAGTCGGAAGTTCCAAAGAAGAATCAAACCACTGCCCGTTACTTGTTGGTCTTGCCAGCATGTGGAGACTTCACTCGCTTGATGAGATCTCGAATGATCAAGCAGTCTGAAAAGATATAAATTCAAGTGAGGTCGGTTATGTGGTCTGAGTAGGAAAAAGCAATTCATCATTGAGATTGACAGGCGGCTTGAATGAGTAAACTCACCGCTAGGTGAGGGACTTCCACTAAATGAACAAACACATTTCCGTCCATTCGTTTTTTTTAGAGCAAATCTCGTTTTCACTGAGTGCTTTTGAAACCAGCTTCCTTTGCAAACTTCGTCTTGGTGTCACTTTGTCCGTGTGTGTGTGTGTGTGTGCACGTTTGTGTGATCCGGCTGAACTAATTGCAGGAATCCGGCATGTGTGATACGGTAATGAACGATGACATTTGGGCCTGGCCTATTAGTTCTGCCGGTAAACAAATGCACACAGGCTAGCTGATAGCTGACAAGGCCGGAGGACGTTCTTGACAGGGAAGCATTTGCAAAACGATGCATGTTCACTCCGGACATGTGCGCGGGTGTATGAAGAACAGGTGTACACAGAATATGTCGATCGTGTCCCAGTAAAGCGTAGTTGAACTCCTCTAGATGTCTCCTTTGGGATGTTTATCATGGGATGGCGAAACAGGACAAGGTGACAATGACAGTGTGGTCTTAAAATGGGCGAAAAGTAGGATTCCAACGGGAAAAAATTTCAGAACGAGGTGAATATTTGTTGGAAGGGGCATCGATAAGGTACTGGATGACGAGTGCACCGGGGAGCGAGGTTCGCACATGGCCACTAAGGAAACGACATTTTCCGTTTTTGGTTTGCAGAGATTGGATGGCTTTGTCAATAATTCCTGATCAATAGATCGATTATTGGAGCAGTCATAATACGTTATTCCGTGTCGGTGAGCACAAAAGTTAATGGATAATAAAAGCAGGTAGATGCCACCACTTTCATCAGCCAACAAAGACCGGAATGTGTTACAGAGAGAGGCAGAAGCTCAGGATTAGCAAATGAAAGACACCTGACTGTTTGCTCTGGTCGGAATGCGTCGTTCTCATTCTTGGAACAGCTGAATAAGTCTTACCCAAAAAATCCATACAACGGAGATTCCGTCCTGTAAGGGACAGCAAGTTATACTGAAGAGCCGAGATCCCTATTGGAAATCACAAGCGGTGCGTATATCACGAAATTCAAGGAAGCTTCGAAGTGGGGTAGCCTATAAGCCAGAAGGAAGAATAATTCATGTGACGTGTGAGAAAGCGTCACACGTGAAGTCAGTTATTCACGTGATCTGGATACCATGATTGAAGAATGAATGGAACAGTGTCCTGCCTGCATACAGTTTAATCATTTGTTGGTAGCCGAAAGGCTAAGTGTTCTACCACAAGTCAGAAGCTGTCTGAGTTTCGTGAGGCGCGCTCTGCTGACGAAACCAACGGATAGTGCTTCTCGGTATTTCAGCACAGGCTGACTTCAGTGAGAACAGGAAATCTCAAATGAATCTTGCCAAATCTCCAAAAAACACCAACGAAATTCATCACCGTCGATTTTTCTCACCTGTCTTGAGACTCAACACATCATGTATCCGTTTAGTTGGCCTGTGTTAACCGTAGATTAGTTCCTATTAGAATTTTACATAAATTCTAAAAAAGTACTTCCTGTACCCTCATTCGCAAAGTAATTTGGTATTTTCGAGAGACTCACCTGGAACCCAGCTGAATCTCTCGTTTGTGATGTTCTCAGGCAACTAAATGTGCTGCACCAGGCCGCCTCATGTTTCAGTCGCTGCGATATTCGAGATATCGCGATACATGTATATCTTTGTAACGTACTACTCATAAGGCTGCCGAAAATCCGTCGACAGCCCA